GCTAGAGTTGATCCACCAAGGGAAAGTCCCGACAAATTCCTGGAGAATCCGGGGAGAGTTTCAGACTGACAAAGTCTCCTTGTGCAGTGTTCCCCCAAATGTGTGCGAGGGCGCTACAAAATCTCCCCGTACGAGCCACCAAATGTGGTGTCTAAATGGGGGTGTCTTTCCTGATCAGATGAGGGTCCCCAAATGTGGGGTTAGTGATTGGGTGGATGTCAGTGGCCCACAAGGTGACAAGAATTCACCTGAGGCAGAACAAAGGTCATAGAAGTTTATTGAATATACCTGCAAGGAAGTGGTGGCTTAAAGACAGCAGAGGACAGGCTGTCTTTAAGGAGGCAGTGGGTGGGGGCTGTTTTTAAAGGGGACAAGTGAGGAGGTATGGTGACATATTGGATCTTCCCCTTTTCTGATAGCTGTGCCTAGTTGTAAGTAGCTCATCGGTCAGGTTAGGGCCTATGGATATTTGAGGTGGGTCACCTGATGGACCTGTCTGTATTCAGCCAGGTGGTTGCCATGGCCCTTTCTACATTCTGTCACTCAAACCTGTTTGCCTAAAGGCAGCCTCTAGACACACGGTGTAACATATGCACAACTAAACAAAACAAGCTGTAGAGTTTAATAAACTATCCCATAATGAAATCCTGTGTTGTTACTGTTCAAGTCAAGAAAAAGAACACTGCCAGCCCATAGAAGCCCTCATGTGGCCCCCTCCTTGGAGGTAGCCACGATCTTGTCTTTTTTTTTTTTTATCTTTATTTATTTTTGAGACAGAGAGAGAGAAAGAGAGAGAGAGAAACATAGCACAAGTGGAGGAGGGGCAGAGAGAGAGAGGAGACACAGATTCCAAAACAGGCTCCAGGCTCCAAGGTGCCAGCACACAGTCATACAAGGGGCTCGAACTCAGGAATGGCGAGATCATGACCTGAGCTGAAGTCAGTTGCTCAATCGACTGAGTCATCCAGGTGCCTCTCTCCTGTCTTTTTGATAGTCACACACTTGCTTTTCTTTATAGTCCTAAAGTGTCGTCCTATAAAAGACCAAAGGAATGTGAAACCAGAAAGAGAGAAGTTTTCATCATTTCGAAATCACAAGAATCAGTATTACAACCTGTCCATATTCTGCCCCCAGGTTTCTTCTCCAGGTTACTGATAACGTGAGAAACAGGCATATCAGTCCACTATCTCATCATTTATCAGAGAGAGGAGAGAAGGCAGTCAAGGCTAGTAGTCAGTTAAAGTTTAAATTCTAGGGAGGTATCTCTTGATTGCAAATGAGAAGATCTCCACCTTGCCACACAAAGTGCTCTGCTTATCCTTCCAAACCAGAACACTTAAGGGTGGTAAGAAGGGTTCTTGATCAAAAGATTCCTTTAAGATCAGGCTGTAAGAGAGGGAACAGTCTTTTGAGGGGTTATTCCAATGAATCTTCAACACGGTTCCATAGGCTGCTGCATTAGAACCACCAGAAGAGGTTTATTTTTCCCTAAACCTCTAATTCTGGAAAATTTCAAACATGGAAAAGTAGAGGGAATAGTATCACCTACCCATCAGTCAGTTTCAACAGTTATTGACATTTGTTTCTTCTCTATCATTACCCACTCCCTACACTGGTGTTATTTAGGGGCAAATCCCAGATATTGTATCATTTTATCCTTCAATAGTTTAGATAAAGGTTCTTTAAAAAATCAAATGACTACACCATAAAAAATGAACAATAATTTCACAACAGCATCGAACACTGAGGTTTTAAACATATAGATTCTCAGATTCCTCCCCAGACCTACAGTCAGACTCGCTGTGGAATGTGGGAACATATATATATATATATATATATATATATATATATATATATATATGTTAAGTTTATTTGTTTATTTTGAGAGAGAGCGTAAGCATACCGAGTAATGAGGAGCACTGGGAGGGCAGAGAGAGAGGAGAGAGAACTTCAACCAAGGTCTGTGCCATCAACACAGAGTCCAACATTATGTGTATATATATATATATATATATATATAATTTTTTAAAAAAATTTTTTTTAAATGTTTATTTTATTTTTTGAGAGAGAGGAGAGACAGTGCAAGTGGGGAGGGGCAGAGAGAGAGAGGGAGACACAGAATCCTACAGGTTCCAGGCTTTGAAAGTTGTCAAAGCCTGATGAGGGGCTTGAACCCACTCAACTGCGGAGACGACTCGAGCCAAAGTCAGCGCTTAACCGACCGAGCCACCCAGGCAATCTCCCTGTATATATCATTTTTTTTAATTAAGTAGGCTCCACGCCTAGGGTGGAGCGCCCAACGGGGCTTGAACTCATGACCCTGAGATCGAGACCTAAGCTGGGACCAAGTTAGGACACTTAACTGATTCGAGCTACCCGGCACCCCGAGCTCCATTTATTTATTTATTTATTTATTTATTGTTTTAGCTAAAAAAAAAATTTTTTTAACGCGATGAGTTTTGAGACAGAGAGAGATGAGCATGAACGGGAGGGCTTCTCAGAGAGAGGGAAACAGAATCGTGGGAACAGGCCCAGGCTCTGAGTTGTCGGCATGAGTCTCCCACGGGCTCAAACTCACTAACTGCAAGATCATGACCTGAGCCAAAGTCGGCCGCTAACCAACTGATACCCAGGCACCCCTAAAGTCTACATTTTTGAAACAACATTCCTCAGGTTGAGGTATGAGAACTGCTATGTCATTCACATAGGCCTTCTTGGCGATTTCTGGAGCCAGGCAAGGAGCAATACAAATGGGCCTAGTGCTTCTGCAGTATATCAAAGTCTTGACTGGTCAAACTTCTGCAAATCAATTAAAATGCATCTTGGGAAGTTTTAATTAAAAAAATTTTTTTACAATGAGAGAGACAGAGCACAAGTGGGGGAGGGGCAGAGAGAGAATGAGACACAGAATCCGAAGCAGGCTCCAGGCTCTGAGCTATCAGCACAGAGCCCAACATGAGGCTCGAACCTAGAACCATGAGATCATGACCTGAGTGGAAGTCAGATCCTTAACCAACTGAGCCACTCAGGTGCCCCTTGGAAAGTTTTAATTGAAAGGAAATCTGGCAGGGAAGCCTGGATAGCTCAGTTGGTTGGGCTTCTGACTCTTGATTTCGGCTCAGGTCATGATCCCAGAATCCTGGGATCAAGCCTTGAGTTGGGCTTTGCTCTGAGCACTGAACACGGAGCCTGCTTAAGATTCTCTCTCTCTCTCTCTCTCTCTCTCTTTCCCCCCTCCCTCTGCCCTGTGTACACTCTCTCAAAAACAAAATGGAAAAAAGAAAAAATAAAAGAAACATGGCATATTTTTTTAAATAAAATGAATATATTCATCTGGGTCCAATTTGTAAATCTGCATTTATTGAAAATTTACAATGTGCTCTGCACTGAAGGGAACAAGAGGGATGTTTAAAAATGTGTGTTTTTAAATTTTTTTTAAAGTTTATTTATTTCCTTTTGAGAGAGAGCGAGCATGAGCAGGGGAGGGGCAGAGAGAGGGAGACACAGAATCCAAAGCAGGCTCCAGGCTCTGAGCTGTCAGCACAGAGCCTCACATGGGGCTCAAACCCACCAACCACGAGATCATGACCTGAGCCGAAATTGACATTTAACCAACTGCGCCACCCAGGTGCCCCTAAAAATATGCTTTTTAAGCATAAACATTTTGCCAACAAATAAGTTATAAGATTCAGATTGAGTTGATTTGAACCTGCATTTTAACACCTTTTCCAGGTAATGCTGGGCCTGCTGGTTCTTGGACTATACCAGGAAAGCTAGGAAGTTAAGGTAAAGGTTTTTCTCACTCAGAGTCCAGAGAAGGTAGAAAGGCACTCAGCGGGGACCTGATCTAGGCAGGTATGGTCCTGCCACCCTCACTCCCTTCACCTAGCCCCCAAATAATATTACTCTTGTCGAGGAGAGACTGAAGGAACCCCTCTTTGTTCCCAGTGGTATGGGCAGGAGGTTTGCACCCTAGACTCTTGTCTCTGAGAAGGGACATAGCCAAGCTATGGTCCTCCAGACTGAAGACACTGGGGATGATGGAGTGACTGGCCAGGGAGGTCACCAGTCCAAAGTTCTTTCTATATAATGGGCCCCTATCAGAGTCCAGCCATAAGGCCAGGTCCTTACCCCCCAGGAACCGCTGTGAGAGGACCAAGCTTAAAGTGGGTGAGGCACCAAGCCAACAGGCCGGCTTCTCAGGCGGGACATTAGCATGGCACCTTTCCTGGCGCTCCTGTGAACTGTTGCAGGGCAGGGAAGGGAGGATGGTGGTGGTGTCCACTCGGCGCACATGGTGACCGCTGCTGAAGGGCCACAGTGCTCTACGTAGGGGTGGGGATAAAGCCACTCCAGATTCTAATCGGGGCGCGCGGGAGGGCAGGAACTGGCGCTGCTTCGGTGGCTAGGATGGGCCGATCAGTCAGTCACAGCCAGTCCTAAGAAGGGCTCCTGTCTCAGCCCCAGGGCAGGCATATCCCGCCCCCAGGAGACCCCTAGTCTGAGCGGAAGAACGCAGCCGACCGCAGGAGTCTCCAGTCCGAGGGGAAGACACACCAAGCCTCAGGACCCACGTTCTGGCTCTCAGGGGACCCAAAGCAGATTTCCACGAACCGAGGTCCGAGAACTTCTCGGCGGGATGCGGCCAGCTGCGCGCGGGGAAGAGTGCGCGCAGCCTTCGAGTCCTGAGTCAGGCGGTCCTCGGCCCCAGGGGCGCCGGGGACGGGGTGCTCTGGGGCAGGGCCGGGGCACTCTTTGCAGCCGGTCACCCCTCCCCCTTCCCCGCGGGCTTTTGCACCGACGCGCCGCGGGCCGCTACACAGGGTGGCCGGGGCCGGATAAAGCAGGCGGGCGCGGGGCGCAGCGGCGGGCGCGGACGGGCTGGAACGGCCGGAGCTGCGGGACGAGCCCCAGGCGGCCCGGCTGGCACAGCGCGGAAGGCAGCCGAGAAGGCACGCAGCGCAGGGGCCCCGGAGGACGCGCGGGGCCTCCCGGCAGGAATGGGGCGCTGCGCTGCCGTCCACGCCTGCAACTTCAGGGGCCGGGCCCCGCAGGCCACTTGCCGGCTGGCCAGACGCAGGGCGCTCGGGGCGGCATGGAGCCTACGGAGGCAGCATCTGATGGACGCCAGGCCCGGAGCCCGGTAAGGCGAGAGCCTGGGGAGAAGCAGGCATTTGGCCGGCATCGGACGCATCTCTGCGCGTTCCAGTGGATGGATGGTTTTTGGGAGGCTTGAAACGGGACCACAAGAAGGACGGGAGGTTGGGGAAGCGGGGAAGGAAAAGAGCGTGGGCACGATCATCCCTCCCCTCACGGCTGAGCACAGATCCTGACCCCTGGCCCGCTAGTGTGCGGTGGCAAGCCATGGAGCCCCCGCCCCTGGCCCGACACTTTTGCCGGCAGCCCGCCCTGGGAGGCCCTGTGTCCCACAGTGCGCAGAGGAGGGTCTGCCCTTCTCCAGATCGAACTGCCTTCCTTCTCCGTAGCGTGCTTGTTCTGGCCCCGCCCTTGGCCAGTTCCCAAGGTCTTTGCCGCCTCCAGGCGCTGAGAGAGGTGGGGGAGGAGGGAACACCGTGGACCAAGACCCCAAGACTCCTGGACTGGTCATTTCCCCAGCACCCCACTCCAAACACGAGTTTCTGGTTACTCCTCAGAGACTGTCGAGCTTGGAGTGTCCATAACTATTCTTTCAATTGGACACATGGGAACGCCAAGGACTGGAGTCAGCCCTCCTTGCCCCCATCTCAGAGCTGAGTCTCCCCTCTCTTTTCTTCCCTGGCCAGGTCTTACACTGGATCTCTGTGGCAGGAGGGGGCCGGCTGGACCCCTCTGCCCGCACCTGGCCTGGACTTGCAGGCTATTGAGCTAGCCGCTGAGAGCAACCATTACTGTCATGCCCAGAAGGGTCCTGGCAGTCACTTTGACTCCAAGAAGGAGCAGGCCCGGCGACAGCTTTATGTGGCCTCTGCCATCTGCCTGGTGTTCATGATTGGGGAAGTCATTGGTAAGGACTTTTGTGCTAATTAAATGAAATTGGGAGCATGGATAGTCTGGATGATCCGAAAAGCTTTTCTCCTGGATGTTCCTAGTAATATTAATACTTATAGCCCCAGGGCGCTGGCTGGCTCAGTTGGTAGAACATGCAAAGGCACAGATGGGCTGGAGCAGCCAGAGGGGCAGCTGGAGGGCCCCAGGGTAGCCCTGGCTGGAGTCTCAGGGTTTCAAGTTCAAGCCTCATGTTGGCTGTGGGGCCTACTTAATTAAAAAAACAAAAAACCAAACCGAATAGCCCCATTTATTGAATGTTCATAATGCTGAGTCTTTTATATACACGTTATCTCATCCAGTCCTCACAACTTTGTACTGTCACGTGGGTGTTAATATTCTTATTTTACAGATGATGAAACCGAGGCACATTAGGGTTGAGTAATTTGCCCAAGATCATGCACAACTTGTGTGTAAGGGATGGCCTGAATGCCTAGAAGGAAAGAGCATTTACCGAGTGCCTACTATGCTTTCCAGGGCATATTTGAACTTGATTTTCACAGTCACCCTCTAAGTAGATCGTGTCCGTCCCATTTCACAGATAGAAGTTGAAGCTCAGAGAAAGTAAGTCCCTTGCCTATGGTTCAACAGCTAACGGGTGGAGAGGTCCCAAATCCACGGTCTTTTTCCAGAGTCCATGGTTTCCCTGCTGCACACACAGTCTGGGAAGGTGACTTCATGGGGGAGCTGATAAGGACCCCCCCCATGTCCCTGGTCCTGCCCTTGCAGGTGGGTATCTAGCACATAGCTTGGCAGTCATGACCGACGCAGCCCACTTGCTCACTGACTTTGCCAGCATGCTCGTCAGCCTCTTTTCTCTCTGGATGTCTTCCCGACCGGCCACCAAGACCATGAACTTCGGCTGGCAGCGAGCTGGTGAGGACCCTGGTCGGGGTTGCAAGAGGAAGCCGGTCAAGACATGGGTTCTTTGGTGGCTGCAGTAGGGTGGGTCCCTGAGCGAGGCCAAGAAGGTGACTTGGGTTGGGCGTATCAGTCTTGGCTTCTATCCTTTGGTAGCTCCCGGTCCAATGGGGGAGCCCTGGTTCCCTGTCCTCTTGGAACTTCTAGTCTGCAGGGAAGGAGAGGTCACCTTCCTAAGAAATGAAATGGTCAAACTTCAAGAACAAATGACCATGGCCTTAAAGCTGCACATAATTCCATGGGTCAACTCTCGGGGCAGGGAAAGGTCCTCAAAGCCTTCTGGAAGACAGAGGCTTTAAACCCCCTTTAGTTCATCTCTGGGCTGTACTGTCATTCTCCTCTTGGTGGGAGATGGCCCAGTCTCTCCTCCGAAGCCTCAGTTTGTCAGCTGAGCAATGGGTATCTATTGTAGTAAGTCAGTTTCTTTACATGTAAAACAAAAGGGGTTGACCCAGATGACTTCTTAAGGTCCTTCTAGCTCTGACATCCTCTGATGTATGAGTGGTGAGGTAAGGTACAACCATGCTGGCCATACCTTTAGCGGAGTCCCGGTGGACCCAGGCCCTGACTTTGTAGGGAGGGGGCTGGTGGATCATGGAGGGATGGGGAGGCCTCCTCAGTCTTAGGGCCCCATGCTAAGATTGGTGGTGGGGTTTGGGTTCTTTCTCAGAGATCCTGGGAGCCCTGCTGTCTGTACTATCCATCTGGGTCGTGACTGGAGTGCTGGTGTTCCTGGCAGTGGAGCGACTGATCTCTGGGGACTATGAGGTCAAGGGGGGCACCATGCTGATCACATCAGGTTGTGCTGTGGCTGTGAATATCATGTGAGTGTGACCTCGGTTCCCTATGAGTCCCCCGTCCTCGTGCTTTTCACACACACATCTGCATGCCTGCTCTCAGTGGAAGAAGGCCACGGATGGGCCACAGGACCAGAACTTCTCAGGTGGTCTGAGCTCTGGCAGCTGGGACACCTTAGTCCTGCCTTAGGCCAAGGCTGAGGCCACTGAGGGCTCTGAGTCTGGGGCTGCATCAACTCCACCACTAACCCCTCCCCCCATATGTGTGAGTGAATAAACTGGGAACCTTCATGTCTGAAATGGGGAAGGTGAGTCTAGTTCTTACAGGAGCACATTTTCCTAAGGGCCCTTAGGGGTCCAAGTCCTTTTTCAAAGCTGGTGTGCCTGAAGTTGGTCTCGGTGAGAAGCAGGGTGTGTGGAGCACGGGGGTCTTGTTTGGGCTTTCTCTCCATTGCTCAGTGGTCTTGGGCAAGCCGCTTCCCTCTCTGGGCCTCAACTTCCCCATCTGTGACATGGATGGGGGGAACTAGATGACCTCCATGGTGTCCTCCTGTTCCAAGATTTGGCATCTTTGTGCCCAGATCCAGCCTGGCACTGGAGCTGAGCCCATTCTCCTGTGGTGCTCTGGACCAAGGCAAGTGGGTTGGGCTCCTCACAAGGCAAAAGGAGAAAGCAGTCTGGGGGTGAGGATTTTTGTCCCACAGGAAGGCCAGCCCTATGGGTGGCCTCTACCTGCTAGGTCAGCGAGCCCCTCGGCTTTGTCTCTGCTTCTGTAGAATGGGGCTGACTCTTCACCAGTCTGGCCACGGGCACAGCCACGACACCAGCCAGCAACAGGAGAACCCCAGTGTCCGAGCTGCCTTTATCCATGTGGTTGGAGATTTTCTGCAGAGCTTAGGCATCTTGGTGGCAGCCTATATTTTATACTTCAAGGTCAGAGCTGGGGACAGAGGGAGGTGGGCCAGGGGGTTGGGGTGGGCAGGGGAGTGTAAGTTATCCGGGGGCTCCTGTGTACACGTGGCCCTTTCCAGGTTCTAGCTCCCTCCCAGCTGTGTGGGGAGAGGGAAGGAACATTCACCCAAATGCCTTCCAAGTGTCAGGGATCTTCACAACAATCCCGAAGAGCAGGTGGTGGTGTTTTCGGCAGCTCGGAAAGGTTCAGTGACTTGGATGGTGTCACACAGTTGGGAAATTGTGGAGCCAGATTCAAACCCAGGCCTGCGTGCTGCCAATGCCTGGCCATTGTCCATCACCTAGCGGTGGAGTGATGTAGTGGAAAGAGCCAGGCATTGGGGTTGAAGCCTGGCTCCACCCTTTGCTAGCGGGGTGATGTAGTCCTTTGCTCTAACTGATCTTCAATTTTTCCATCTATAAAATGAGATGTTGGGCCATTGGCATCAAGATTCCTTTTCGTTCTGTCCACATCTCAGTCCCTTGGGTAAGGAAGTGTGGGAAGGGACCGTGCCTTATCCTGAGCTGTGATCTGTCCTGTCCCTTCTTCTGGACACAGGATAAAAGGTGGAGAACTGGGAGGCAGAGCCAGGGTGAGGCTTGTGCCCACCACGCAGAGAGCACCCCTCTCCCTGACTCAGCACTGGGTGGGAAGGGAGAGGGAGGCTGAGGTGTTGAGTGATGAGCCCAAGCTCCGCCTTCCCCTTTTTCTGTAGCCAGAGTACAAGTATGTAGACCCCATCTGCACCTTCCTCTTCTCCATCCTGGTCTTGGGGACGACCTTGACCATCCTGAGAGATGTGATCCTGGTGCTGATGGAAGGTAACCTGGGCGTGGGGCTCCCCTTTTGTTCTTGGCTCTCCAGTTCTAACAGGTTTGGGGGGAGAGGGCAGGGGAGTCCCAGCACATTGGCAGGGAGCCAGGGTCTGGAGCCTGGCACAGGCTGGAACACCTCCTGGGGCCCCAGGCCAGTCTTGGCATCGAGCTGAGCCCTCAGGTGTGGCTGTTCCTAGAAATGTCCCTGGGACCAGACTGTGCTTTCCTTCCCTCTAGCCCCACGGTGTCCCCTCCCTGCTGGGATGTGTCCTCCCTGCCTAATCAGGTAACTTCTAAGTGGTGTCTGTAGCACTTGGTGCTCCACAGCCTTCCCTCAGGCACCTCCTCAGTCATTGACCTTCCCCGCGGCAGAGAAAGGGGCGAGGATTCTGCTTCCATTGCAGAGGAGGCACACTGACTGAGGCTGAGAAAAAAAAAGTGGTGGGTGTTGGACAAGCCTACCAAATCCACTCCAGCTTAGTGCCTTCCTTTCTGAGGCCTCTGCCTCGGGAGCGGATGGCCAGGCTCTAAGGGCTTCCTTAGCGCTGACCGATGGTCTGCCCCAAGATTCCACATTCACCAGCTTTCTTGTGCCCCAGGGTCTTGGGTCATGGGGCTCAGTGTGGCCAGGGTCAGTCTGAAGTTGGATGCTGGTTTGGAGTCAGCAGGAGTTATCTGGCTACATGTCAGAGCATTTTCCCCAAGAATGTGACTGACCCAGATACGAGTGATAATGCTGATGCCTCATGTGGGTGTAGGGGTTCCCCGTTTGCCTTCTGTCTTTCTTCCTTCCATTCCAAAAAAAGTTTTCACTGGGCACCTGTTATGGGCCAGGCACTGTTCTAGGCACTGAGGACATGGTGGTAAATAAAACAGACTGTCCTGCTCTCATGGAGTTTCCATTTTAGAGGGGGGCACAGGCAGGAAACGAACAAGATAATTGCAGACAGAGTCAAGTGTGAAGAGAAAATACAAAAGGATGATATGATGGAGATCATTTGGGAGGCGGGGCAACATCAGATCTGCTGGCCAAAGCGGTTGTCTCTGAGGAGACAACATGTGAACAGCAGAAAACAGCACTGGGGGTGGGGGTGGGGGAGCAGTTTCCTTCAGCCCCTGTCCCTGCCACCCTCAGGGACCCCCAAGGGTGTGGACTTCACAGCTGTACGGGATCTGCTGCTGTCCGTGGAAGGGGTGGAAGCCTTGCACAGCCTGCATATTTGGGCACTGACCGTGTCCCAGCCCGTGCTGTCTGTCCACATCGCCATCGGTGAGTGGTCAGGATACTCAGGGCAGGGTGAACGAGAGGCTGCCAGAGGTCTGGGGCCATCCCCGAAGCAGCCAACGACCTCAGATGTTTGCTGGTGTGCCTTGAACCTGGCCCCATGCTGAGTACTTTATAGACATGATTTCATTTGATCATCACAACCCCATTTACAGATGAGGAGGCTGGGGCTGGGGCTGGGGCTGGGGTGGGGTGGTCAAGTCACTTGTCCGGGCTTTTACAGCTAACAGGTGGCAGAGAAAAGACTCTTAGCCTTAAATAAAGCCAGTGCTTTCCCTGCTTTTGCAGGATTGCACCAGGTATGGGGACCGGGAGGTTGCCTGATGCAGGAGTGGCCTCTGGGGGTTTCTTGATGCCTGTATCCTGTGCTGCTGGGGGTAGGGAATGTGATAGCCTCCCGATTGCTCCTAAGGGCCCAAGAGTGAGTAAATGTTCTCTGGTCCCTCCCCTGGGGTGTCCTCTTGGCCCCCAGCTCAGAATGCAGACGCCCAGGTCGTGCTGAAGGCAGCCAGCACCTGCCTGCAGGGAAAGTTCCACTTCCACACTATGACCATCCAGATTGAAGACTACTCTGAGGACATGAAGGACTGTCAGGCGTGCCAAGGCCCCTCGGACTGACTGCCTGGCCAGGTGCCAACGGAGCCATGGCCAGGACCTGCAGGTGGTGGGGCGGAGTGTCCCCCAGGCCCAGCCAGAACGCTGCCTATCCTGGCTGTGTTATAAAGCAGGTCCCTCTCCTGACCTCTGCTCTGTGTTCAGTGTGGAGGAACTGTTTTCTGCCTCCCCCATCTGACTACAGCCAGTTTAAGGATGAAGACAGCAAGTGTAAAGCTACTATGACCCAGCCCTTCCAGCTTCTGGATTGGTGCCTGGCAGGGCTGGGTTTGGGCCTAATCCTCAGCTAAAGCTTTGCTACCACCAGCCTCAGGAAAGGTGGTGAGGCACAGCGAGGAGTGACAGAGGGGAGACTGGCCTCAATGTCCCCTTGCCCACTGTCTTATTCCCCCCTTCAGTCTGTCTGGCCTTTGCCTTATGGATCTACGCAGAAGCCCCGGGACAGTCTGTCCCTCTGCCTATAACAATATGGTTTAAGGAGACCTTGGGGGTTGGAGTTGAGAGCACCCCGCACGCTTACACATGTCCCCCCTGAGAAGGGGAAACCGGGGGGAACCTGAGGCCTGTCTGTGCCTTCGTCACTTCAGCTGTGAGCCAAATGTGTCTCTTTCCTGGAGGGAGGAGGCTTCTGACCATGTAGGGACCTGGCTGCTTTCTTCTTTCCTTATTCCTCCAGCTCGGGCACGTGTGCCAACACAATGATGCCTTTGCCACTGGAGGGGGGGGGGCCAGCAGGGGCTTCAGCTTGGGTCCTGTCCTAACAGCCCCACAGCCCCTGGGCCAGCTCTGAAGCTGGCCCAGCCTACCCTGCTCAGAACTTGAGCATGGACGACAACGGATGGGAGATGGTGGCTTCCTGAGGTGTATGCAGACTCCCAAGTCAGGGGCAGCTTGTGTTTCCGAGACGAAGAGGGGAGACCTGTGCCCAGTCTCCCAGGGAAGGCAGAACACCCAGTCATATCGTGGCCCTGGGTTTTACAAGCCAGTGCCCTTGGGTCTCATCTGAGAATAAGAGACTACGAATGAACCTACATCACAGGGTTGTTGCCAGGACTGGAGCCAAAGCCTTTTAAGCCCGTGGTGTTCCTTGAAGAGCGGTTACTTTGATCATCAGGCTGGAAAGGTGCAGCATGAGGCTGACTTGCCCGGGAGCCAGGTGGGCTTCCCAGGGGCAGCACTGACTTGATCTTGACTCTGCCCGGATTCAGGACTGGAAGAGGAGGGGTTGGTCACCCGCCTTCCCCCGTGAACCTCTTTCTTCCCCTCTGTGAAATAACTTCTTTGTGCCTTTCAAGTATGGCCATCCGGGCTTACCTGTGATCTAGGTCAGTAGGTTCTTCAGCCCCTCAAAATCCGTGGGAAGTCATGTGGCTCAGAAGTGTGGTGGGGGGGGGGG